ATTCCGCGCTGTGAGTGCTCCATGCCGGATGTGCTGTTCTCACGGCGCTCGTTTCACAAAGCACTCCTCTCCCTGGACATCCAGAAGTTGAGTGGGCCAGACGGAATCCCCCCTATTGTGCTGAGGACGTGTGCTCCGGAGTTGGCACCGGTCCTAACGCGTCTATTCCGGTACTCCTACTCCCAAGGCGTAGTCCTGAATTCATGGAAGACAGCTATTGTCCATCCGATCCCTAAAAAAGGCGACCAACTATAGGCCTATCGCCATCACCTCCTTGTTCTCCAAAATAACGGAATCCATTATTAACTACCAGCTCATGCGGTACCTTGAAAATCACCAGCTGATTAGTGACCGCCAATACGGTTTTCATCGGAGTCGATCAGCTGGTGATCTTCTGTTCTACCTGACCCATAGATGGGCGGAGGCAGTAGAGTCCAAGAGGGAGGGGTCGGCCGTTAGTTTGGACATTGCGAAGGCCTTCGATCGGGTTTGGCACAAAGCGCTTCTTTCGAAGCTCGTTTCCTATGGGCTTCCCGAGAAATTGTGCAATCGGATCACCAGCTTCCTTGCAGATCGGAGCAGCAAGGTCGTTGTAGACGGTGCATTCTTCGACTACAAGCCTATTAACGCTGGTGTTCCACAAGGCTGTGTGCTATCACCAACGCTGTTTCTTCTGCATATCAATGATATGTTGCTAACTGGTAACATTCATTGCTATGCGGATGACAGCACTGGTGAAGCTCTATACACCGGCCGTGCCAATTTTTCTCGGGAAAACGTCGCCGAGTACCTGAACAAACTTGTGTCTGAAGTCGAGTCTTTGCTGAACTTGTGCTGAAGTCTCGGATTGGGGGCGACTAAATGTAGTTCAGTTTAATCCTCAGAAGACAAAAGATTGCGCGTTTACCGCTTAAAAACCCCTTTGTCGTATCTCCTCAGTTTCAAGGCATTCCCTTCTTGCCTGAGCCAGTATCGGAATCATCGGAGTTGACATATCGAGTGACGTGCAGCTTCGTGGTAACTTGGAACAGAAGGCCAAATTGGTCTTTAAAAAGCTTGGCGTGCTCAGTAGAGCGGGACAGTATTTCATGCCGGCACACCGCCTGCATCTTTACGAGGCTCAGGTTCGGTCTCACATGGAATACTGTTCCAATTTCTGAGCAGGGGCTCCCCAGTGTCAGCTCCTTCCTCTTGACTGCATCCAGCGCAGAGCGGCTCGAATCGTCGACGACCGAGTCCTTTCCGATCAGCTCGATTCATTGGCACTGCAAAGAGATGTTGCATCCCTTTGCATTTTCTTTCGCATCTACCATAGGGAGTGCTCTGAGGAATTGTTCGGATTATTCCCAGCCGCCAAATTTCTCGAACACACACCGCGGCAGAACTCCCAATACCATCCACACCATCTGGATGATTGGCGGTCCACCACTGTGCGATTTAGAATATGTTTTCTTCCTCGCACGATTTTCTTGTAGAATCGATTACCATCAGCGATTTTTCCTGACCGATACGACTTAGGGATCTTCAAGAAAAGAGCCTACTCCTTTTTAAAAGGCCGGCAATGTATCTGCAATTCCCTCCCTGGTGTTACAGTTGTCCATGGGCGGCGGTAGTTACTTACCATCAGGTGAGCCGCATGCTAGTTTGCCACATATCCTATAAAAAAAAATTGAATGCAGGCAAAGTCGCGGGCAACAGCTTGTATTAAATAATCAATAAAATACTTATTTGACTGTATTACAACACGCATGAAAGAATTATTCGATGCCTAATAGCTGTACAAGTTATTCGACACATCAGCTACTAACAATTAACGGCAACCTAATGTCAAATTGATGAAGCCTGATCCGTAGAAAACACCATTAGTGGTAGGGTTGTCTCTTTTTACAATGTTGGCACCAATTTCTTTAGTACAAATAATTTTTTTATAGAATAAGGGTGACAAACAAGCATACAGTCCACCTGATGGTAATTAGTTGCTGTGGTCCATATACATCTACATCTATTCTCGTCTGCGAATCAAAATGCCCTGAGCCATGCTGCTGATATATTAATAGTATAGTTGTAGCACGAATGGGTCGACTCGACCGGGGGAGGACCATGCTCTCGCAGAATACCAGCGTTAATAGCAACTTAACACTGCTGTGTTTTTTTATGGTGAGTGTAGAGAACCGGAGAGCCTTTTTACTGGAAAATAGGCATTCCATCTTAGTCCTCACGGGTGTCAAAGCATCTGCATTTTGATTCTTTATTGAGGATAGATATAGATGTCTAACTACTTACCATCATGTGGACTGTGTGCACGTTTGTCACCCTATCCTATAAAAAAACCTTAAATGTATCATATGAAACTTGTATGAATGTAACGGTATTAGAAATAACTTTTTAATTTGAAAACAGAGGTTCTAGATAAAAGAGACAATGCAACAAATACATATAAATATACAAATATGTACATACCTATATATAGACATTAATATTTACATACCGAAAAATATTCATTATATATCTATTTCTAATTAAGTTTAAATGGTGTAAATTTTATGCCGTTTAAATAGGTTTTGAATTATATTTTAGTAGTGACAGCCCTACAGAATCCATTAGACTTCGCGGGGCTTTACCAGTCATTATCGACATATGCGATGTGTCAGGTGACAACGCCTGAATACATATTGTATTCTTTCATCAGTAAGTATTCCGTCTTGACAAACAACTGAGTTGTAAAGTTATCATTATATACGATCTCGTAACCCAATGGTTAGAGTGCGGGAGAGTGGGTACCATGTCACAAATTATAGGCTCAAATTTCAGCTGAAATCAAATTTCATGAAACAAAGATATTTACTTTTCAGTATTGTTTCAGTACTTTTGAGTTATATGCAATATTGTTTGTTATCTGCAGAATTTTTAGTCATCATTCATTATATTTACAGCCTCCCAAACGTTCACTGTTCAACACAGGTCAAACCGGTAGATTGACACTTAGTCACGTTTGGCTGGTAACTGCAGTTTTTTATTTTTTTTATTGTTATTACATGATAGATACTGTGGCAGCACTGTCGTCATACTGTAAGCGCAAACGCATCGAAGCCTAAATCGCGCTATCAAAGTTCTGACGTTAACGCGCTATATATAGAACAGCTCCAAACTATGGACCGTTGGCCACTCCCTAGACAGAACACCTTGCCCTGCGGGAGATCTCCCCTTTTCCTTCCACGGCCAAAATACTACTGCCCATCTCCTGTTCATTTCCATCTATCGACTCCCACGGGATGATATGGGTAGTAGATTCTCATATGCCACCACTACAAGTAACTAACAAGCACACAATTCATCGACCAGTCAATGTGAATATGTAATCGAAAAATGTGCTCTTCAAACTTGGTAAGACACAACATTTTATTTTTAGCATGAACCGCAGCTAGTTAACTTTCTTTAAAAAAGTCCCGATGGGTTTCTTGCTGGTTTTTCCCAAGGCCGAGGTATTTTTTGAATAAAGAAATATTTTTAATAAGTATTATGTAATAATCTATATTGAATAAAAATTCAATATATTCTATTTTTAACTTTATTATAATGGGCTTTTCAAAGTAATGTCTGATTCTAGTAATTATCTCAGAAGAGATAAAATCAACAGCTACTTGAAGGCCACAGTTAAATACAGGATTTCAAAGAATGGTACCGAAGCAGCTTAAGCGCTTAGGGTGTTTCCTCTTTGTAATGAAAATAAACAATTTTTAAATCCCCGCAGGTAGCAATCTATTCCGAGACCAGTCAATTGCAATTTAAAGTTTTATCCTTTATCACGTGCAAATGTAAAGTTAGAATAAACCTCGGTTCTATGCACGACAGTATTTACCATCAGTTTGACTTTATGTTGTTTGATCCTATGTCGTACTTACTTCTATATAAAATAAATAAATGTAAAGTTACGGTACGTCCCACTTTAGGTCAAGTAAGTGCCTATATATATGTTTTAATGCATCTTGGCGGATTACCAATGTCTTCGAACTATTTATTTCATTTCTAAGACATGCAGGTTTCCTCACGATGTTTTCCTTCACCGCCGAGCACGTGTGAAATATTTACTTATTATTCATACACATAAATAAAATCGAAGTGTCTGTCTGTAATATTGAAATAACTAGCTTCTATTTTTTTAAATTTCTGTCTGTTTGTCTGACTGTCTTCTAAATCGAATCTTCGAAATGGATTTACCGATTGTTTTAAAACTTTATGAACAGATAGAGGGGCAATAGAGGAGATAGGGGGCAAAAAATAACAGAAGAAATCTAGACTATATTTTATACGCAAAATTTGGAGATTTAAAAAAGACTAAAAATTGATAAAATAAACGGACCTTGATGATCTTAACCGCTGCATTAATAGATTCTATGCAGGCAAAGCCGGGGCGAGGGGCTTGTTTATCATAAAAATAAAGTTAGTTAAATACATTTAGAATTCTATAAACGTCTTAAATTAATATCTTTAACAATGTGTGCAATCCTTTTTTGCTCATAGTACAGTGAGCTTGACTGAAATTAATCGAGACGGCTGACTCTGTCGTTTTGAAGAATTATCCCGTGGCACAATATTTTGCGCTCTCAAACTTGCTGGAAAGTTCTATTAATTTCGTACGGATAGTGCATTTTGAAACATTAAATTTTACATCTTTCCATAGAAAGTTTAGCAATATGTTTTGTGGTCAGTTTGCACTATGTTGCGTTGGAGGCCACGGTTTTTGACTGTTGAATTTTCAAATTGTTAAAACGTCATAACTGTATAATATTCTTATAAACAGAACACACGTAGTAGAGCCATGTTGCGACTAAATCATACTTGTAGCACGAACGGGTCGGCTTAACTGGAGCAAGACCACTGCCTCACAGAATACCTGTGCTGGGTTTCGTATGGTGAGCGTATAGAAGTATTGTATTCTTTAGAAGCGATACCGACAAATCTAGTATGTTTTAAATCAATATTATGATAGTGCTACTCACCGGTTCCTGATCGAATCGGCGTCGTCTTCTGCGGCGCCATCTGGTTGCAGGTGTATGCCACTTTGAGCCCACGTCACTGTTAGCCAGTCTGTAACAAGGCGTCCAAATTATTATTGTATTATCTATATGTAGTAGAGCCTCCCCGTGTAGTGGCGGGTAAGAATACACGCTACCCCATATCTTCCGGTGGGTGTCGTAAGAGGAGACAAAGGGAAACTGAGGCAGAAGATGGGCAGCAGCATCTTCCTGATAACAGCAAAATAATAATAAAAAACTGCGGTTGCCAACCCACTCGCCAAGCGTGGGAACTATTTCAATATACCCCCCATGATTAAAGTTATGAAGAGACGGCCCCCAGTCCCCGGCGCCCCTGCTATTCCTACGGCTACGGTGGCGATCATGGTAACGGCTGGGCAGGGGGTGCTAAGAATCTCCGGTGGAAGTTCGGTTGCACCTAGGACGACTCGACCTGATAACATATAACGCACGCTCCCTGAGGACTGATGAGAAGATCCTGGAGCAGGAAGAAGAGATAGACAAGTAGCGCTGTATTATTATAGGATTAACCGAGGTGCGAAGAGAGGGGGAGAACACGATAATCCTCGAATCTGGCAACTTGTTCTATCACCGGGAGGGCGACCATCTGTCCCAAGGAGGTGTCGGATTTGTCGTCCACAAGTCTCTTGTTAACAACGTTGTAAAGATTGAGAGTATATCGAGGACGGTTGCGTACCTTATATTCAGGATCACCAAACGGTATTCGCTGAAGGTCATACAGGTTTACGCAACAACCTCAGCACATCCAGCTGAGATGGAGGAAATTTATGAGGATATATCTAGAGCCAAGTATTCCTCCAAAACACACCATACGGTGTTAATGGGAGACTTCAACGCAAAACTAGGCACAAGAGAGAACGATGAGCTGAAGGTAGGGCGATGTGTAATAGGGCAACGGAACCCAAGGGGCCAGCAGTTGGCCGACTTCGTGGAGAAAGAGGGATTCTTTATGATGAACTCTTTCTTCCAGAAGTGCTTCTATAGGAATTGGACCTGGATGAGTCCCGGTTCCGACGGTTCGAAAAAAATGAGATTGACTTCATTATGACGAACAGACGACAACTGTTCAGTGAATCGTGAGAGGCACACTGAACCTAAACGTTAAGTTGGAGAGGTCACGTCTAATGAAGATGATTGCAATGCAGTGGACGATATGAATGATAAGCTCATAGAAACTGTCCATGCGGTCGGAGCTAAGTTTTGCAAGACCCGCCGTAGAAAAACACAAAGCTGTTCGATCACTCTCTTAATCTCATGGCTGTTAGATGGGAAATAAAGCTTCATTCTTCAGTAGATTTGACAGATCAGAACAGACAGATCTCCAAATACATGCGGCAGGACTTACACAACTTTAATATTGCTTTAAGAAGCGATCGAGCGCGGGTTCCGCTCGATCGCTTCTTCAATACGAGCAAAGCCTTTGCTAGAGATCTGTCTGCTAGAAAGAACCGACTGTCGAAGCTGGAGACTGAATGTGGCAGCGTCGTTTCCGGGCAACCTGAAATTTTGAGTGAGATTGAGAGATTCTGTGGGTAGCTTTACACGTCACCGTTGGAGCTACACGCAAGTGACAGTAACGATCTAAGAGCAAGTCTTATCCGACACTATTCCGATGATATTCTGGACATCAGTGTTGAGCGAGATTAAAAAGGCTCTCCAGCATCTTAAAAATGGCAAGGCTCCAGATGAGAATGGAATTACAGCGCAGTTTCTAAAAGCGGGTTAAAACCGGTACTTGAAGTCCTTTAGAAACTCTTGAATTCCGTCCTCCATGGTGGTGGAGGCGTGGAGCGGAAGTGCGGTGGTCTTGTTCTTCAAGAAAGGAGACAACGCTCTCTTGAAGAACTACAGACAGATTTCCCTTCTGAGCTGCGTCTACGTGCTGTTTTCTAGTGTCATTACGAATCTTCTCGCATGCAGACTCGACGACTTGCAGCCTCCCGAACAAGCTGGTTTCCGAAAAGGCTTTAGCACCATATACCACATACGTACCCTTCGGAAAATTGTTCAGAAGTCCGAGGAGTACAATTTGCCAGTATGTCTAGCGTATGTGGACTATGAGAAAGCCTTTGATTCAGTCGAAATCTGGACGGTGAGGCAAACCCTTCAGCGGTGCCAAGTCGACTGTCAGTATATTGAAGTGCTGAAGTGTTTGTACAGTAGAGCTACGATGACTATCCAAGTACAGAAACAGAGTACGAAACCTATCCAACTGCAGAGAGGTGTAAGACTGACGTTATATCCATAGAACTCTTCACCGCTGCATTGGAAGTCCTTTTCAAGCTTATGGACTGGAATGGACTGGATACGATATTAATATCAACGGCGAGTATATAACTAACCTTCAATTTGCTGACGATATAGTCCTTATGGCAAAATCGCTGGAGAACCTAAGCACTATGCTCAATGACCTCATTAGTGCCTCCCAACGTAATGTTCTTAAGATGAACATGGACTAAACAAAGATCATGTATAACGTCCATGTCATACCTATGCCGGTAGTTGTTGGGAGCACTAAACTCGAAGTTGTTGACGAGTATGTTTTCGTGGGATAAATAGTCCGACAAGATAAGTCCAACTTCGACCGAGAGGTCAATCGACGGATTTAACTCGGCTGGGCAGTCGTCAACTCGTCAGGTATATAATGATTTCTTATATATACGCGAACACTACACATTTAAATAAAACTAATTTTACGGATTTTTATCGCGTATATAAACTTATTTTATATTCCCGACTGCTGCCTACTGCTTGGGATCCCATAATTAATAAAATCAAATCCAAACCCAAGTATACCACTGCTAGACTTCAAGATACTCATTCTGCGTAAATCGAACCAAAAATTAATATTAAAAAACTGAAGGTAGCCGGGCTAACAATGACATCAGGACGTCAAACACCTCAGTCCCCCGTGACCACGGGTGCTGGAAAGCACCCGAAACGTCGGGAATATAAAATAAGTTAATATACGCGATAAAATCCGTAAAATTTGTTTTATCTAAATCGTCAGGTATACCTCAAAACTTGAAAACGAGACTGTACGGACTGTAATCAGGGTGTGTTGCCAGTGATGATCTATGGAACTGATACGTGGTCCTTCACCATTGGCCGGATGAGGAAGCTCAAGATCGCTCACCGAGCTATTGAGAGGGCTAGGAGTTTCTCTGCGTGATAAATTAGAAATGAGGAATGATATCCGCAGTAGAACCAGAGTGATCGACATAGTCAACGGACTAGTAAGCTGAAGTGGCAATAGGCCGGCCATATAGCTCGAAGAACCAACAACCCATGGGGAAAAAAGGTTCTCGAGTGGTCGTTTCGTACCGGCGGATGAAGTGTAGGGCTTCCCCCCAATAGATGGAGTGACGACCTGGTAAGATATGCAGGAAGTCGATGGATACACGTGGCTCAGAACCGTGCTTTATGGCATTCCTTGGGGGAGGCCTATGTTCAGCAGTGGACTTATGGAGGGCTGTAATGAGTAGAGCCATGCTGCGACTATATTATGGTTGTAGAACAAATAGGTCGGCTTGACCGGGGTAATACCACACTCTCACAGAATACCAGCGTAAAATAGCAGCTTAATGCTGACACTGTAGAAAACAGGAGAAACTATTTACTAGATTCGAGTCATTAAATCTTACGTCTCAAAATATCATATGTCGATGTCCCTCTGGGACATCTGCATTTGATTTTTTTGTATCTTAATTAGGGATAAATTTAGATGTTTATAGGCCACAATATTCACTTATCATCAGATGGACTGTGTGCTCGTTTGTCACCTTTATTCTATAAAAAATATTCTTTTAAACATAAGATAAAAATAACAAGGTTTCTCATAACTTGAGTATTAAACCTGTACAATCTAAAGTTACTAAAGGTTTCTTATTTATTTATTGGTAAGTAACATGTTGTGAACTTAATATGAAATAGTAAGAGAAGAAGTGCAGAAAGCTAAAATGTATGTTTAATATGTATTACAAATACACAAAATAAAATATAATAAAAAATATATTGTTTACGTTCATAGCGTCAATGTCTCAGAATAAGTACAAAAGAGTATGTAATTACTACATTTTCACAAAAAACGCATACAAGCGTTTATTTTTTTTTATATTAGATACCTGTGTCTTTATCATATTAATGTGCAGTTGAAAATTAAATACAGCTTATTTATACAAGCCAAAAATACGAATTCAAATTTCGAACACTAGGCGACCGACTTTTAATGTATGATAATATCTAAATCGTTATATTGCGCTTCGTGTGTTACATTGAACTCCTATACCTACTTCTATAATCCTATTGCCTAAGTCGGCTTTTGTTAGGAGCTGGTTTAGGCAAATATTAGGATTTTATATCTTTCAATAGATATCGACATTATAATCATCACTTAATACCAGAAGTAGAACACACAGGCGGGGACAAGCAGCGTTAAATATGCAAGACGGTACTGACTGGTACTGTGATAATCTGGTAGTAAATTGAATACTGGCATCCATAAAGATAATCTTTATTCTTATATATGTCGGAGCGTCTATAAAATATCACTTGGATCGAGGTGGACATGAGGGTATATCGAGAAACCCCCACTTGTTTGTGCAGTATAAAGTTCACTGTAGGTGCCGTGCGAGGGAGATTCCGCTTAAGTCATTCAACGAGTGTTGTCATTCTACTAGTGCTAAGATAGTGTCGTGGTTCTGTTCATTGTTGTAATACTTCTAGTGCAGGCAAGGAGGATTGGTGTTGCAAAGAGGCTGCCTTGTGTTACATTGAGATAAGTAGTGTTGCTGTTGGTTTACATATTTTAGTGTTATCATGTAATTACGTACCTCACGTTACACTGGTGTGTCATTGTGGCGGAGACGTGTTACGGTGTGGTCGAACTGTAATTTCACTATACTGAATGTATAGTGCGTTACGTTGTCTTATTACTAATAATGATTAAACTGCGTAAGCAAGAGAGCAAGTTGAAAATCCGCTCTCACACTTTAATTATTTTAAACAATTAACGCTATCCTGATATATTTTCGAGTTCAAAATTGTGTTCCTCGGTTGTAATTCTTCGACATATATATATATATAATTCTTCTGTCCGTGTGTATGTGACTTAAGTCGGATTGGAACGATTTTGATGAAATTTTGTTTGTGTGATTAATTTGGTATTCCAGAATGGTTTAGATTCACGATTGGAGCTGGAAGGTGGCGCTGTTCTCGTCGCGATCCAGAAATCACACGTGCAAAGCTGGGGCGGATCTCTAATGACAATATCAAAAAAAAAATAACTTATATCATACCATATTTCCAATTAACTAAACTTTCAATATAAATAACCATCATCATCATCATCATTATAGCCCACTACAAGTCAACTCCTGAACATAGCCTCCTCCTAAGATCACCTCAAAGTTCGTCAGGTAACTATCTAGTAGGGAACGCGCACTGCGCTGTGCAAGGCTGTCATTCGAGAACCTCTCCTTTCTATTGGTTGTCGATTCTTTAAGCTACGTGTATGTGACTGGTCCAGTGCCACTTCAACGTACTGATTTTTATTACATAATGCAGTAATTATGTATTACAAACCATTGAAATCGGCTACTAAAAGACTTGTGAAACAATACTCTTGAATAAAATACAGTCCTTGAATAGTCTTTGAGAAAATAACATCTTTTGAAACACGGTCAGCAACATTGTTGTGGAACTCTGATAAGAGATATCTTTTGAAATTAATTGGATTTAATCTGATATTAGTGAATAGCAATTCCATGACATAGATAATAAACTGTCTAATGAAATTTTTGTATAAAATTTATCAGAATGTATGAAATACGTATTTCAGTATATGTATTCATGTCTTTTATTAAAATACTGTTATGTGTACAGTAATGTAAATACAATTATATTGTAGCTCGCTAGTGTCTTATAAAATAGTGAACGATAGCAGTCATTCTATTATGATACACTTTAATATTAAAATATGAGATATTAAAGATTAAACATGATCATACTACGGCTGTAGCACTATAACGTCGGCTCGACTGAGGTAGTACGCAGCAAAAAATAGCAGCATTAATTGTTTTATTTGTATTCTTTTATAAATTTAAAATGACATACGAACTTGCAGATACTTCAAACAAAGAAGGATGCAGATGCATTGTCATCTCTGTATCTCTTAGACTCTGACACAGTAGTGCAAGCTCTACTGCTTGGTGACAGAAGTAGGGAATATGCAGTAGAGAAGTCCAACCGTTTACTCTTAGATGCAGAGTACGTTTTAAAAAAACATAGATTAAATTAATGGTCGCCCACTGCCCGTTGCAGTCGTTACGACCTATTAAAGTCCCCAATGCTGAATAGAATAGAATATTTTTTATTCAATATAGATTATTACACAATAGTAATTGAAAGCAATTTTTTTAATTTACCACTGGTTCGGAAAATATCTCTGTCCTGGGACAAGTACTAGCAAGAAACCCAGCGGGACTTTTTTTAAAAACATATTTCACTTTACCAAAAATCTTATAAAATAAAATTACAAAAAAAAAACAAAAAAAAATTTTTAAATGAGTTTTAATAGAACGACCATGGTGGCGATCACTGCATTCCCAGGTTTTTTTTTTCATTTATCTATTCTTTGATATTGTAATAACCCTTTTTGTACAATTTTTCTGAATATGGGTCTCCTCATAGATTGCATCATATTTGCCATGCAACAAGTGGGTTGGCACTACCGCAGTTTTTTATTTTTAGCCATTATTAAGAAGACACTACTGCCAATCTCTTGATATGTTTCCTGCTGTTGCCTGTTATGACACCTACGGGATGATATGGGGTTGTGGATATTCTTACACCGCCATTGCACGCTTAAAAAACATTCATTGATTCATTACAGCCCTTGACAAGTGCACTGCTGAACATAGGTCTCCCCCAAGGAATGCC